TGGTTATTAACCAACATGCCATGCACGGAGGTTGCGCGACCGTCGCACGTCACATTCCCGCAGAATAGTCAAAACTTTTCCGGCGGGACATTCAAACTCCGATGCAGGAAATCGCATAGTTGGTGATGATACGGTACATATGTACAAACGGTACCAAACGAAGAGGGTTAGCGTTGGTACTGTGCGGTGCAGCCCTCCAAGGGCTGCAGGTTTTGTTTGGATGCACCGCCGCCTCGCAAGACAGTGCCTTGCTCCGGCGCATCAATGCTACTTAGATTAAACAAACTTTTGTACTTGCGTTCCATACGCCGCCGTCTTTAAAGCGAACGGCTGTTTGGCTCCCGACCGCCGACAGAGACCGTTTCTCCCCCCCGACCCTCCTCCACCTTCGAGCCCTTGGGTCATCTCATCCCCGCGAGCCTGCGCTCGATTCAGAAGATAAAGGGTCACCAGTACGTCACACTTGCCTGCGTTCTCTACACCCGTCACGATATCCTGAACCCCTTCCCATCGCAAGTGCTCCCGCCGTGAGAGCAGCACTCAAATCACACACTGCTCTTGAACTGCCCCCACAAACCTCCATCGCACCACTCCACTGACCAACGTTCACATATCGTTCTATCCTGTCATACATGCCGCATTTCGGCACTGTGTAAGCCTTGACAAAATGTCCGCCCGCGCTTTATCGAACCGCCAAGTTCTGGAATTCTACGAGCACAAGATCAGCAGCTACAACGACGAAAATGCGATGGTCGAAGTGGCGCACCTTCTGCTCGATGGAGCAGATGGGGTGCCACGAGATTCAAAGCGCGCCGTTCAGTTGCTCGAACGCGCTGCCAAACAATGTCGTGATCCTCGAGCAATGTTTGACCTGGCAATGATCTTCGACTTTGGACACGGCGATATTCCCGCCAACCCAAAGCGTTCCCAGCTGCTTTACGAGACTGTCATGCGTGCGCGCAAGGATGGCAGTGCTACCAATAACTTGGCCTACTTGTTTGAAAGAGGCACCAAGCAGGTGCCACGCGATATTCATCGCGCTGTTCAGCTCTATGAGCGCGCCATAGTGCAGCATGACAATATTGTGTCTATGTACAATCTTGCAGGCTTGCTGTGGTCTGGTGATCATGGTGCAACTATTGATGCCCCACGCGCAGTAAAGCTGTTTCGGAGAGCTATCAGAAAGGGTAACGACGTTGAGTCCATGGTTGATCTGGCAAGCGCGCTATTTGAGGGTGGTAAAGGTGTGCCTTCGAATCCAAGACGTGCGGTAAAGTGGTACAACAAAGCTATTGAAGCTAACAGCATCGATGCAAAGGAAGCACTTGCCGCCATACTGGACGCTGGTGCCAAGGGGGTCCCAGCGGATCCGATGCGCGCTCTTCAGCTTTATGAAGAAGTGTTGCAACAAAGGAAATCTGTTGGGGCGATGATGAGCTTGGGAAACATGCTATTGCACGGACGGCGAGGTGCGCCACAGAACCCCATTCGCGCGTTGCAACTGTTTGAAGAGGCTGTCACGGAGGAGAAAGGCATCGGCGCTAAGTTTCATTTAGCAACCCTTTTAACTAAAGGAATGACAGGAATTGCGGCAAACCCTGTTAGAGCAGTGCAGTTGTATGAAACCATTGTTGAAAAGCGATGCGATGTCCGCGCTCTGACTAACCTTGCAGTCATGCTCCAGAAGGATGTGGAAGGCGTACCAGCCGATCACAAGCGAGCTGTCATTTTGTACGAACAAGCTCTTGAACGCAAGTTTGCACCTGCTGCATATAACTTGGCCATGACGTTCAAGCGCGGGTATGAAGGGGTCCCAAAAGACGAAGCTAGAGCGCTGACGTTGATGGAAAAGGCTGTCAAATTGTCTACAGACACGGGAATGAAAACACAAGCTATAGTCGAACTGGGCAAGATGGTACAGCAAGGCACCCCGGATCATCGGCCTGATGCGAAACGGGCTGTGAAGCTGTACAAAAGAGCTATTGAGCGTGGAAGCGATGAAGCGAAGAGGTGCTTGGCAGCTTTGCTGCTGAAGGGAGCAAAGGGTGTCAAGGCAGATGTTACGATGGCTACAAAGTTGTATACGGAGTCAGCTGACGACACGGGGCATCCTGATGCCATAAAATCACTATCCAGGATTGTTGGAGATTAGTCGTGTTGAATAAAAGTCTTCGGGCGTTCTATGTCACGAAACATGTCGGAGGTACATTAAGTGGCCTATTCATCATCAATGTCACATGGAGCAATGTGGCGTATGGACCGAGATGCTTCCCCTCAGAAACGAAGCAACACGCTGATCTATCTATATACACCAAGGACCCTCGACGTGCAACTCTGGCATTGGAGCATGGCTTTCTACTGGGAAGAGGATCGGAGAAAGAACACTTCACCACCTCATCGACATAGGAGATGATTCACTCTCGAGACATATCTAGTGACATATTGTTCTTTCACATGGAAAGGATTTCTGACGCCTTTCATTCTCGCGAAGTTCCTTTGTCTTGGATATCCGCTACATTTTGCAACGCGAGCTTCTCTTCCGAAGCCAGTGTGATACTTAAGATGAGAACACACTGCCAGAGAGAGACGTGGAGACCTGCGGTGACGTACATGACGAAATCTGCGGCCATACCGGGTAAAAAGGAGAACCGAGGTACTGATTGTAGTGCAGAGAAACTCAGTTATTGGTTATTGGGTACATTCTCGGCACACTAATGAGTTTGAAGCCGGATTTACGGTCGCCCAGAGCCACGTTATATGGCCTGGATGATGACATGCTCTTCATTCCTGATCGTCGAAAAAGGTGCGGAAGTACCATTTGGCTGTACTCGACACTAAGCCCGGGCTCCTCTTGTACCTGGTCGTATCTTCACTCGTGCTTAACATCTTTTGAAAGGACGCACATCAACGCTTCTGCTGGAAGGATAGATATGAGTCTGCGCAAACGGGTTGAGAGAGTGCGACACAGTCGCATGCGTTTGAGTATACCTTTGGTATGTTGTAAGCTGTAAACATCATCGCACCTCTGACGGGATGCACAAAAACATGATTGAGCACATCACCCACACAACCAGTTCTTCTCCGCGTGCCGGTCAGATGTCTAATATGGTCGGGATCCAAGAACGTGTCTGACTACAAGTGTAGAAAAATAGGGAAACGTGTCTCGGTGATCTCCACAATCGTTTGCTTGCAAAGTTGTGCCTGTAAAGCGTAAACAACTCTCTATCCCGCATACCATACCATACCAGAGCTGGTCAGTCACGATGACAGCACAAAGAGCGGAGAGCACGTGAGGAGCAAAAGGAAGTATGAGCGTGTTCAATAGAAATCATGTCGAAGATCGGTACTTTGGTCATCCGAGGCGCCAACGATATACTCATAAGCAACGGTATCACGTTGCATTGACAATGGCTGAACGGTCCTCCGTCGTCTCATTCTCGCTCCAAGGCCACGCATTTCAAATTCGTCATAGTGACTTTGCTCAAACTCCCTGTGAGCGAGGAAACCAGTATCCTGAAGGAGGGCTCCAAAAGGTCCTTGGTGTGCATGTTGTTGCTGTTGTTGAGGTCGTTGCGAACGAACTTTCATGCGCTCCCAAGCGAAGATTTCCAGCGCCATACCGAGAGTGGTGACGCATAGTGCAATGATGAGAAACGCAATTCCGACTTTTCTGAAACCTTCTTCACCCGTACATTGGGCAACCCAAAGTTCAATCTTTCCATCCGTTCTGGAACCAACGTAATACGCAATCATTTCCTTACTCCGAACCTCGGACGAATGAAAAAGTTCAAACCCTTTTATGACAAATGGCAAAACGGAAAACAAATCGGTGAACACAACGTAAAGAAAGGTTGGAAATGTACTCAACTCGGCTACAAAAGCGACGGGAATAAGCGTCATGACCATCGGTAGAGCGAGAACGGCAATGTTACTGGGCACTATCGCATCACTTGCAAGATCTATAACGACTTGATTATGCCGAATTGCGTTGGTGAGTGCGGGGTTTTCGGAGGGTGTCATGGGCACGCTTGTGAAATCGGCTTTTCCCTGGGCGGTCTGCAGGATTGTTGAAGCGGATTGAAGCACGGAATCATTCCAACGGGGATGGACTATAGGGAGTGTTTTGTAGGAATGGTCGATAAACTCGGAGATGTAAGCGCGTTCGAAATCAGGAACGAATGCGTTGATGGGGTGATTGGTGAGCGATTTTTGAATGTACAGCGTGGAGTTGATTCTATATGCGATGGCATTTTCAAGACGACACATTTGACCGTCTTCCATGTGGGTCCATCCGGAAAGCGGGTAAAACTTGTTGAACAAGGTAAGATTGTTTAGTGTTATCACGCTTGGTAATGACTGTTGAGCGGCTTGTTGAAGTTGTTGAGCGGCGGAATGAAGAATTCGGATGGGGTGTTGAATGAGGGACGGATGTAATTCTGAAGATGCTATCGCGGCTTTTACATCTATACTTGACTGGCATTCACGGTGTGGATCGAGGATTTGAAGGATTTTAGACGCATCTATCGATTGAGTGATCCATGTTTGAGCGCGGATATTGCAGGCGAGTGCATGTTGTTGCAAGACTCGTTTATCGATTGTGGCGAGAATTGAGGAGAGAGTGTTGTGAAGGGCGTGGTGATATGAGTGTTGAACTGTTGATGATAATGCTTTCGATAACGGTGAAACGGATGACAAGGCGTGGGTGCGATTGAGAAAGGGTGCTAGACGAGGGAGTTGAGTATTGTCAAACGGTTGTTTGAGAGACGCTTGCGCTGGGGCGGTGAGCAAGTGTAGGGCTATCAGCGGTATGAAAAGTGAATGGAGAAAGGAGAAAGGCGTCATGTGGGCGAGAAGACGATGAAGAGGATGCAGACGAGCGAAAAGAGAGACGCCATGGCTCGGTTTGAGGAGGGGAAGAGGGGGCGCTGGAGAAGAGGGAATTGGTTTGGACACAACATGTCGCGGTGGATTTTCTTCGAAAGCAGAAAATAAAACTTCTGTGGATCCAGGGGGGATTGAACCCCCGACCTTCCGTATGCAAAACGGACGCGCTACCACTGCGCCATGGACCCGTCCGTAGCCACTGCACATGCTTCAGGTAGAGTTAACTCAAGTTTATGAAGGGAAGCTTCGAGATGACTCAAGTTTATGAAGGGAAGTTTCGAGATGAGACCATCACTGTCGGAGGGCCTCTTGTTCATATTACGCACCGTGATGGTAATCAACCGAGGACATTTCCGGTCCAAAGGTACAAAGCAGTCATCGGCAACGGCGGCAGCAGCGGCGGCAGCGGCGATAGCGGCTTCGGCTTCAACGCCACCGCAATGTCGCCGCCGCCGCCGCAGCAGCAGCCGCACAAGCATCGAGTAGTCCGATGGCGTCCACTGACGCTGTCGCTCCTCTCGGCTGCTGCCGCCGCTCTTCTAACCGCAGCTCTACTGCCGCCACTCTCGCCCCCTTCCGACCGGGTCACAGCCTTCTCCATATCGCAGTCCCCCCCGCCATCACCACCTTCTTCCTCCCACCACGACCCGCTTCTTCACCTTGTTCTCCACGAGCGTCAACGTCTGCAAGCACAGAGTCATCCGTCCTTATGGGCGCTTTTTCTGCAACAGCACCATCAAAACCGCTCCGTGCAAACACGCAGGACCGCGTGCAGAGAGTTTGATGCTGGCGCTCAAACTTGTGTCTTTGAAGGTTTTGCTTGCGTTAATGTGTCCTCTGTCGTCACCCAGTCTGACAGACCGTTGATTTACTTTGTGGACGATGCTAAACGCGATTATGAACCTGTTACGAGCGATCAATGGTGTTCTTTGAGGCATCAATCTTCCGATCCACGTTACTTCTCCTCCAGACATTGGCCCATTTTGAATCACACCGTCGCTCCACAGCGATCCTGTCTAACCGCTCAATACCGTACATTCAACTCACTTCTTCACCGTCGTCTAACTCTTCTACAAAACGGGTCCTTGCCATCTGAAGCTGCCACACGTATCAAATGGGTATCGTCCATCTGGTTATCCGACCTCGATTACCACGATAACAACCATAATAATCATCTTCTGAAGGATATTATCTGGATGTTGGACATTTCACTTTGGCAAACCTCTCTTTCACTTTCTGTTTCTCCCGTTCATAACATCCCTTTAACTTTTTCCACTAACGGCTTATTTGAAACCACCCCGCAGCATATCTATCTGCCTCAATCCCAAACTGACTTTGAACGACAAACTGCTCGAGACGTCAATCGACTTAATTACGCACTCGTGCTCCAGAAAGACCTTTCTCATCTGTATCCAAATCTCACCTCCTCTCAAATCAGACAACCCGGCCAGCACGCAAGACCGACACAACCTTTGTTCAAAGCGTATCCTGAACTGTTACAAAATGACTCCCTCTTGTTTCATCGTGATCTGAAAGCTGATTCGCAGTATGACCTTGTGTGTACGCCTCGTCTTACCGTCGGCGCTAAAATTGGAAATGGTGCTCACGAACGTGTATGTCGCTCCCTTCGACAACGCGCGCATCAGTTTTACGGCGTTGAGCACAATCAAATGAAACGGCTTGGATCTACGTTTTATCCGCAACCACCTAAGCGCATCGTCGTTCTTCAACGACATGTTACACGACGATTTGCTAACTTGAACCAATTGCTCAATGCACTCCGCAGCCAATTTGGACTCAAGGGCATTGACGTGCAACTTGTGTCTACAAAGCAGCTGCAAACAGCAGAACAGTTTGTTCGCGTGTTTTCAAGTGCCGGTGTTTTAATCACACCCCATGGATCGCAAGCTATGGGTCAGATTTATATGCCCAGACACAGGTATGCTTTTCTTCTTTCTTTCTTTTTCTTTTTGGTGTTGACTTGGTTTCTGTTTTTTCTGACGGCTGTTGTTATTCGTTTGGTCCTTACTGTGACGGATAGCGCTATTATTGAAGTTATGCCAGTGGGCTATACTGATTATGCTTTCAATTTGCTTTCGGAATCATGTAAGATATGGTACTATGAACTTCAAAGCATGCGCCTTCCAAGTAAGTTGCTACTTTTTTCCCATTTTTGTTTGCTATCTATCGCTTTTTTGATCTTCTTCCTTTGCATCTTACTTACAGCCACTGTTCTCCCCCAACGGCAGATAAACCCGCAGAATGGTATGAAGAAAAATGTGGAAGACATACACCTCACATGATGAGCCCTTGCAATGACATCAAATCTGTTGATGTGTGGGTGAACATCACTTCTGCTGTTCGAACGATCAAGTTTGCTTTTGAGCGCATGGGGTATCCTATCGACCCTTGGATGGAATACGTACAATCTGGCGGATAGACTCTTCTCAACGCCCATCTTTTTTTTTGTTTTGATCCTACCCTTTTCTTGGGCGCCCTGTCAGAATGTGTTTGTTAAAAATAGTTTAAGGTGATATTGGTAGGAGAGGAGGCCGTAGAGTGTCCAGAGTCCATCGAGTCAAAGAGTTTTCTTTGGAGTGTCACCGTTTCTGTGTAACGAATGTTAACTTGCTATTGTGAGATGTGTTTCTCGATGGACTGCTGTACTTTTTCAACTGAAAGCGAATCAACTGATGATCACGCCACATAATCCTTACTAATTGTTTTCTACACGTAGTTGCCTTTGCTCTTCGGACGTAGTTACTGTAGTTCCACAACATTTGCTTCACAAATAGACATTAGTCACAGCACCACCAATTGTTTTTGCAGAGATCATAGATTTCAAACGATTCGAGGTGCTGCACTGATTGATGTTGTAGGCTGCACGTTCGAGTGGTGCGTCTCGCCTTTTTGTACGTCAGCAATCCTCTAGGAATTTGCTTTGTTGGCGGGAATCCTCTTTGCTTGGAAGATGTTCGAGGAAGGAGAATCTGTCGGTATAAATAGCATGGTTTGAAAAGGCACCATAACAGACGTGCAATCGGCTTCAACGTCACGATTACAACCAGGAAGATGGCTTTGCGAGGAATTGTTCCATGCATACATTACAGTCTTGCAGACGGCGCAACTTTGCGTCCCTTACGGACTACCCACATTCTACCTTACAAAAGTTAACCGGCATGGCTACCATGCCAAAACATGAGCTTCAAGAACACCTATGTTCTCACGTTCGCTCACGAACAGTATTCGAATGGCACCATAAGTACTGAAACTTGCACTCGGGCACGAAAAATAACAAACATCCATCCCGGACTCTGCAAACGAGTTTGCCACACAGAGCTCCCCAACTAGTTGGAGGTGTACCATGCTGATCATTCATTTACTTGGTTGAAACAGAGCAGGAGATTCTCTAGAGTCTTCTGCTGTGTGTGTGTGTGTGTGTGTGTGTGTGTGTGTGTGTTTATATGAGCCGACCCGGGATGTCGTTAAACTCGTCCAGGAGAAAAGGGTCGAAGTTGAAGCTGTCGTAGCTCATCACTGGAGCTGCGGTGCCAAGTCAATTCTTGCTGGATTAGTACTGCGCTGAGGGATCAGGTGGGAACCGCCAGTGACCCTCGCTTTGGGCACAATGCATTAATCCGCCCACCGTGGTATGCCGACCTTCCTGCTGATGCGAATCAGGAGGAAGCGAAATGGATCCGCAATGGGTCTGCCTCGAGAACTTGGCCTTCAAGGCAGAGACTAGCTTCCTATAGAGCTGGTACGTCGAAGTCGGAATTAGGCTTCATCCGCCCAAAACCAACAACAACATATGAGCTCGCGTCTCTAATTCCAAGACTACCGTAGGGGTTACATTGAGAAGAACCCCTTCTCTCTAGATAAACCAACAGCTTTTCTGGCCATGTCCTTACTAGTGGTTCGGCGTCAGAGCCCTGCCTCTCTCGGAGAGGCGGGAGCTCTCGACGCCGGGATGCCGCTCTTCCGCGGCATCTAAGAACGAAATGGTCTACACTTAAGTATGTTGAGCCCACATCCGAGCGGGCAGAAACATTTCTTGTTGTTGAGAAAAGTGGAGACTGGATGTAGCGTCGGAACGTGACCTGTAAATATCTGCGACAGGGCTGTATGCGCCCTCCTTAGAGTCAATACCTTTGATAGTGCCATCTGCTGTGAAGCTGTTCAGAAACCGACAAGAAATGAAGATTCCAGTTTTTGTCGCTACGTTTCAAGAAAAGCTCCATCTCCATCAGAAAGCAGTCATGAATAATGGCTTCCTGGTTCAGCATTGTTTTTTTCCTGTAGTCTCGTGACGTATCGTTTCAGGGGCAAAGTTTGTCATGTTTATAAACTGGTTTCAGAAGTCACTGCGCTTTAACCTTCACTGATCTGCAGATTGTTCGGACCGATAAGTGCTTTTGAGGCAATAATCAAAAGGAGAGTTTACACAAACGATGGCATCAAAGGCTCTTCTACCAAGACCACTATGTGAACACAGGTACGAAGGTATTGCGAGCTATATGATAAGTGGCCATCCCTTTAACCTGCACGCTGTGATGAAATCTTATCTTCTGATACAACAGAAACCGCTTGCTCGAGGTTTTCGTTTCTGTTGAGACGAAGAGAGCATGTTCATGGTTTAGAGGCGCCATATTGTAGGATTTCACAGTGTGTCGCAGTCCAAACTTTGGACTCCAAAGCCCGATAAGCCCTACACTTGATTTGTACGTCTACCTGCTCACAGCTGTACAAAGGCACCTTCTGATATCACTTGCGTTTCAAAAACGTGGTCTTTCTCTTTCTCTCCGCAGAAATCTGATTTATATATTCTTTTCTCTTCAACAACAATGGTAGTTCAGCATACACCGTGTTATTGCATTACAGTTTACTGAACTACAACGACTATCGAATCTTAAAAGCGCATTGGACGGCAAACATGGCTTATCCATTGCTTTCATAGATACTGCGAGACTAAAGCTTTGCTGCATTTCTAAGACTTTTCCATGAGGTTGTCCGCTGTCTGAAAGATTTGGAACTGTTACAAATAAGGCTTTACCAATGGCAGATTGTATAAACGAGATGATTTGCTCGAAGCCGATACCGTGGTACTTGAAATATTATACGAGAGTCCTTGCCAAATGACTGTGATTAGCAGTCACGCTAACTGTCGAATGTACGAGTAGAAAGCAAA